TGTCCTTAATGGTGGGCTCGGTGGTTCAGTAGTAGAATCCGCCGCCCTTACAATAGTCCTCAAACGCGAACAAAATAGTTCTTTCTGGTAGCATGGCAAGGGTCGAAGGCACATGGGTATTGTAATTCTGATATCAGGGTCACTTGGACGGAAATAAAGGTGAACTACTGTGGGAAAAAATGAATACTAAAATACTCTTAAGAACAAGTTTATTAATATGAAATCAAAGGGAAAAAGAGATATTATTAATATATAACTTCAAGGTGTAACTCCTCGCTTATTGCAGACTCAGTATTTTCTTATTGCACACAACTTTACTGGTGTTACATTACATAGCAGGACCAGATCCTTGGCCCTACTCACTACACATAGTTACATGACAACTCCTTGCAGATTACTTTACTTCTCACACCTACTGGTGGTACGTGGCATTACCATACAAGACAAACTGGCATATGATACTTCACAGACTGTTGGTAAGCACTCACAACATACACGTTAATATTGAAACCAGCGAATACATGGGTCCACTACCCAACATGGGATAATTATTACCAGCTAATTATCTCCAAACATACAACAACACTGTGGGCCATATAACTCCAGGGTATAACACTGGCGCCTCTAACAACTGACGACTGCTGTTGTGGTCGGTGGAAGCCAGACACATGGCGAGTCTGGTATCTCAGGCTCACGAGGCGGACCTGCCATCTCAATCATGTTGAATCACCGACATCAATGCATATATTGATCCCTGTTGGTTACCCACCGGCTCAGCAGCCGATGGGGTGTTCAAATAAGCCCACCCTGTATCTGAGAACAAACGGGAGAACGTCACGGGACAGAAGCATGGACAACACAATCACAACAAATCTTTCGCCTCGCAACGTCAGAAGACATTTACTTTATATTACTTCTTACACCCTGGACAGGCTACAGGCATGGACTACGGAGAACAAGGTCACCATCAACCACACCAAAACCGTAGTCATGCACATCAATACCGCCACCACTCCAGTGCAAGTCCCAGCAGTCACAGTGGGTGCCCATCCTCTCAAGCTGGTGTAGTCTGCCAAACTCCTGGGTGTAACTATAAACAACAAACTGGACTGGAAGGCCCATGTAAATAACAGTCAAGGCAGCCTCGTACCGTCTCTACATGCTACGACGACTTAGGTCACTTGGGACACCCACGCCAGAGCTGAGGACCATCTACAACGCCTTTATTCTCCCCAAACTAACGTATGCGTCACCAGCCTGGTCGTCTTCTCTCAACTCCACCCAACAACGTCAGCTAGAGAAGGTACAGAAAAGGGCCTGTAGAATCATGCTCAGCGCAGAATACTCCGGCTACACCAACGCTCTCTCCACCCTGGAAATGCCATCCCTCAGTGACCTCCACTACCAAGCACTGGAAAGGTTTGGCAGTGGACTACTGCACCACCCTCGTCATCGCCACCTCCTGCCACCGGCAGCCCCCACCCACCTCGCGCAGTCCGCCTTTACAACAAAAGTCAGCCCATAAGAGCCCGCACTGATAGATATAAGAATAGCACCATCCCATCTATTGTTAAAATAATTAACAACTCCTGATTTATGTAATGTACAGCCCTGTAAATGTATTCAATGCATATTATATCATTACGTTTAAATCAAATTTAAGTCTGTATATATTCAGCCACCGGCTGCAACTCTATTAATGAACCGTTTATTATTATTATTATTATTATTATTATTATTATTATTATTATTATTAATTCAACTGTTAAAGCATGA